CCGTATATGTATTGAAACATATGCTAACAAAACAACCACTGCGTTTGCGTTTAGATCGTTCCCTGTCCGTATACTGCAACATGCCAGCGTGACAATCGGGTAGACCTCGACAGTTACTGTTCGGTCATCGCTTCCGTACACGATTAGATTTACTGCATGAGACCATTGAGTCACTAGTTTCCACAGTGTAACAATTGGCGAAGGAACATCTTGCTAACTGCAACATGGACAGAATTTTGACGGTCAGACCCTGTTTATTTGCGCTTACTTACTCGGGGTGGGAGCCATCCGTTGTCAAAACTACTAACGGACAGATCATAGAAGTTGAATATGAAGATAACCGGATTATGCGGCCCCATATGGACCATGTGCGATCGAGTTTGTCGGCCCTAGAAACAAGCTTACTGAACTACGACATTTACTAACTTTCTTTTGCCGCCAAATTATACGATGACATCTTCCTGCAATGCTTTTCCTAATTTCGGTCTGTCGTTGACTGCTTTGGGACGCATCATCTGATTATGATTTCTGGAATGAATTCATTCCACCTTCTTGGCAGATACATTGTTTTAAACTGTAATCCGTATTCACTCACACCTCGGCATCTTTCTGTATTTCCGCGGTTTGTCTGCTGAGCTGTTCGTCTGCGGTTTCATTTTTTTACAAGCGAGTGGATTCAAAGTCTTTATCGCTTGTAAATAATAATGCTGATGCCAATAATAATAATAATAATAATAATAATAATAATAATAATAATATATAGTGTCAGCTGTATGCTGCAACGGCACTTCGCTGCTACTCGACCACCACCAGTCGCGCTTGGACTGAGTATACCGCGAGGAGACTCACCTCTACGCAGATTCGAACCGGGGACCTTATGGTTGCCAACTAGGTGTGCAAACCACCCGGTCACCGACCGACCTTAATCGCTTGTGCTTTTTAGTTGAACTTATGTTACCGAATATTTGATGTTAACACAACAGGGCTTTTTGCCCTCATTTGTCCGGTACTTGGTTGTGTGTCCGCTAGCATCTTATTTGCCGGTGGTCGTAGGGACAATTATCTACCTTGAAATGCAGTCATTCGGTTCGAATCTGCGTAGATGCTGATGACTTCTCAGAGTCTGGCTCGCGCCCGACCAGTGGGAGTCGCGTAGCAGGAAATCGTGATTGCTGTTACCTGCTCTTCTTGCCCATCGATAGTATGCAGCGCTATCTTTTGCAAAAACAATCCCCACCGATTAGGAATATCGTTTCATCTTACGACATTCAGCCAGTAACGGCTGCAATATACCCCAGCATTTGGATGTGCCATCAACCGGTATCACGCATCTTCTCCCACGTTTCAGCCATCTCGATTTACCTTATTTCGTTCAATGGATGTATTGCACAAGCTGCTATCTCTGCGCCCACATAATTCCTCTGTGACTGATGTTTTTTCCTCTCGAAGGCGATTGAGCTCGCTGTCACAAGGCTGGCGATTCCTCCAATATTACTTGGATGTACAGCAGGTCCCGGTCATGTGAAAACACTGTGGGACACTACTAGTGACTAGTAGGTGTGAAAATGAGGAGGCGCAAAGAAATGAGGGAACTCGTGGATCGCTGCGGACAAAGGATGCGTAGTAGAGAAATCTACTTCCAGCGTTACATTGTGAGTGATGAACTGCAGCCGGACGGCGAGTACCATGACGGAAGTGCGCAAGTCGGGCCTGAGTTTCCATGTTGTAACACCTAGACGTTAATTCTCCAATATATAACTCGTCTGCACTGCGTCTTGTTTTCTACTATACAATCCTTACCCCAGTTTATGATGTTGCTAGTTTCAGCTGTCCGCAAACGCCAGTAGAATGTAGTCAATGTTGGTTCATTAGTGGACCATGTGGTTGGATGCAACCTCGCACCTCCGCGGCAGTGTAAGTTTTATTAGCGCCGGTCAGGAACTACCAGATGTTGATTTAACGGGTAATACAGACCGAAAGCGTGGTTATTAACAACTTATCCGTATTCAATTTTCCGGCGTTTTTTAAACTTGAACGGCCAGAATCTCCAGGATCAGGATCATCTGCGTTCACACTCTGTGAAGCTGAGCGATCGGAGAGGCGATCCTTGGCTGGATGAGTGGCTTTTTTCTTTTTTTATAACGACGACAAGTGTTGGTATGTTGGCCACTCTCCGTTTCAATCCATGTCTATGCCGGTGTTTTACTGAGTGAAGTGCTGTAACTGCGGTTCCTAGTTTTGCCCATCCTTAAACTCAGGCATGTGATAACCCCTGGGGTTATGATATGACTGGCGATCGTCAGCAAAGGAGATCTCAGTTTAATCTATCGAACTTTGCGTTGTTGAAAACGATGTCCACTTTGGTTTGGTGCCAGTAAATTCAGTGTGCTCAATATACGTCATTTACCACCTAGCGTTTATATGCTCGAAAATTCCATCTTGCAGACAGTTTTACGGGAATGCGACTTTAGTTTAAGGATGACATAGGCTACTCGAAAAATATGCGTTGACAGTCGTGAGTTGACGCGTCCCTCGTGGAGTGATCTTGTGTCTTTTGACCCTTCAACATCTAATTGGGGCCCTATTCAGGTTGGCGGTCGCAATAGGATCGCGATCAGATCAACCAAGACTCAGTAGAGGAGATCGCATATGACTGTTTTGCGCTTGTTCCGTCTTCCATTCTGACTTGGCTTGCGAGACCTCCTGCATAACCTCATCTTGACGTGCCATCTGAGAATTGCCCATAATAGCAACCTAGGCGTCCGTCAAGCAAATTTGTTAGTGGACCGTAGCAAGTTTTGATGCAACCGAACTTTTTCTTTTCCAATTTAACAAATGTGTGCTGTGTTTCGAAGGAGCAACATGAACAGGCAGTTTGGTAACTTTGTTCTTGCGTTTGACATTTCCGCGCCGGTGCTATCTGAATTGACAAAAGCGGATCTCTTTGAGTAATGTAGCCCGTGTTTCTCGGTGACGGCATCGCTCAAACAAGCCCATTCCCACAAATCGAAGTAGGCGAATTTTCATCTGTATTTTTGAGTATGCTTTACTGAATCCACGGATATGCTGTCAGTTTTGCGGGCAATGTTTATTTTCGAACGTGCTTATCACCCAGACCCTTTACAGGAGTTGTTGATCTTTATCTTCATTTATCTGTATTGTACCGTTGTTCCACTATGTCTGTCCCGGATGTTGCCTCTGGAACGTGGTTACCAGAGTTTATTTCACCTGTAACTCCTCCGTAGCAATGAGTCGACCGCACTGCGTGGATTACGTACACCTTGCCTCTGTAGTAGCTACTTTCCATTTGACCAAACAGATGCTAGCGTGTCATATATGGGAGTTAGCAGTACTTGGAGACACTCAGTGACAATGACTAATGTGGTTTCCGTGTAATAATCCTTGTCATCCCCAAATATGTAAGAACTAATTGGGTATTATTTATCACTGCCTCCGAGTTGTCTTCATTAGAACCTAACGAGTAAGACCGTCTTTAGACGTACAACATTCTCATACTCATTCTATTTCTCATTGTCATTAATAATCAACAATCCGTTTGTATAGTTTCTGACTGCCATGTCGTACACAGTCGCTATACGGAAACTCATATCTGGGGCCAACCACTGTCCTCTGCACAGTTCCTAACCGGCATGGCAGTTGAAGGTGAACCGCGCTATACCGCCGTCAACTCTCAGTCATGCAGGTCTACCGCTGTCACCCATGGCTTAGTGGCCCAATCATCCGAAAGTCATGGGGTGGGAACCGAGTTACGCTCACCACTGACAAGAAACAACAGGACGTAGCAGCTGTCTGGTACTTTTTTAGACGGGTGGAACCTACATGACTAGGAGGGAACTGTGACTAGGCTTACTAGCTGCAGCTGTATTTTGTCATGTTCTTTCCTAAGTAAGAGTAGTATGTGTACTTCTCGATGTCAGTGAGATACATGCTACAGTCTCATAGTGGCGTGTCTGGTTTGACAGCATTTCAAATGCGTCTGCCATCATCATCTGTCATCATCAACCCAACGTGCCTTAGTCTAATACGACGCAAGCTGTTGGTGCGTCGCTGTATTGGTTACATTATATATGAAACACCGCTTTCAGCATGACTCCTACTGGTGACCACATTTTTCATCCGTAATATTAAACCTAGTTCTCAAAAATTAATTGGCACCGTAAGAAGCGTTCTACTATTCGATTAGTGGCTCCGCAGTTATTTACGCGCACTCTTGACATTAGATCCCAATACGATCCTCAGGCCGATTGATTAAGTGTGGATGCAATGGCCGCAATCTTCTGATTGTCAGACACGAGTTCATTGTGCTAAATTTACGTCAGAGTGCGAAGGTAAGTCGCACTGGGAAATGTTATGACAACTGCTATGAGGACCGATTGACAAGCCTAGTCACCAAACGTACACACGGTCTGGACGGTAAAAAACGATGGCAGTGAACGGATAAGCCGTGTTTCTATAATCATAACGAAACCTACAGTTGAATTACGAATAAGTGACAAGTTTTGCAGCCTGATTTGAAATAAACCCAGTTACAAGTACAACGACGGCCTTAATGGAGGCTGTACGATTGCATCACGGTAAAACAAAGGACTAAGATTACTTAGGCTTAACTTATCTTGGGATAATCAGAAATGTTTTTAAATAAAATAGTAAATGTCTACATACACGTGTGTCAGTTGGTTCTTTCCGCTAATCTAACATTTGTCCGTGTGTAAGTATTGTAGGACCGCGCTTTGCATTTTGAAACATACCATTTAAAATGAACTGGTCATAATTTATCAATATAATCGTTCAATTTCACTACGAGTAATTCACTGGTAATACTCACCGATCATGTCTACACGCGTGTCTTGCACCATCGAGCATGAAAGTTTGTTATTTTTATATTTATTTATTTATTTATTATTTATTAAACTATAGACCATTGACTATTTTCGGTCACTGTTTCGTTAATGAGCTGTGGCTTTTTTCCCTCTTATTATATGACTAATAATGCCCCATTTTGTTTTCCAGAACTTCGAACTCACAAATGTGAGCACTGTGAAAGTTCATTTGCTAGGCCGAGCAACCTCCAGGCTCACGTTAATTCTGTTCACTTACGTAAGTGTAACTTTGACTTTTCCAATACTGTTTATGGTGTCCCACAGCTGTCTACATTAGAGCCTTTGTATTGAGTAACTTGCGGTAACTCGCTCAAATTCTTAATTTCTTAAGCTTTATAATGCAAATCGGTTATGTATTGGCTATTGTTTCAGCCTGTTTGAAACCGATTATTATTCTAAATCTTTGGAAATTAAAAGTTCCTGGCCGGTCTCAAACTTGTTCCGGAGTATTGAATGGCTGCAATTCCATTCAGGAATATTACATTTTCATAACTACTTTTCTACCACCAATATGCTACTGAATTGGGAATTGATTCTTTCTAGTCAATGGTTTTGTTGTGAAATTGGCATCTTAAGCGGCAGCCGAATACTCACTAAACCCAGTCAGATACTCTGATGTGGACCAGACACTAAAGCGACTCGCAATCATTGAGACTTGCCGATGATAATTGGCTCAGCTTTTCTTTCCTTGGCATGCGTTTTCTCTTTTGCCAACCCTAGACCGTGGTACAACCACTGATTGATCACACAGCATATCGGGAATAATTGACTGAGATCTCAACTATGTCCTGTTACTATCCAGAAAATGGAACAGCGATTGACGGTCTCTCGGTAACTGTTCAAACATTCAAGTCCATAAGATGCGATTCTCTGCCAATTTCGTCATCTATGATTGTTTACTTATTTATGATGCAAACTGACTCTTCATGGAAGCCCAGCTTGACTTTTCGCGCCTTCGGAAGGCTACACCAGACATGTGCTACCCACCAAATGGTATCCTAGCATTTTTATGTACTATTTCTCTAAGACTGTAATCAGGTTTCATTTTGGAGTACACCTTTTGGAACACAGTTCTTTAGCGGAATCGATCTACCTTTCATGGTAGACACATTGTTATAATCTAGTGCGAAACCTCAACCCGTAATCCAAAGTACTACTGTACCCAAATTTCATAACGAGTGAACATTTAAGTGAGTGTTGTCAGTCGTTTTGCCACTGCGTGCATTTTTCACTTAAAATTTCCGAAGTGAAGACACATTCGGTGGTCCGAGTGACTAACGACAAGATAATCGGCGTTTTTTACTTGTACTTATTAGAGAAAGTTTGGTCTCTTCTGCATACATGCTCACCACTTCATCTTGCCGTATTCATTCAATGGCTCCAGGCCATTTGATGTTGTAGTCGTCATTTGTGCCATGGCTGAGTTCACTTGTGTTGCCTTCGAATGTCGCTCGGTTTAACAGCCTGTGTCCTTCAATCGTTCGCATAGCAAAATGAAACATTTATCTCATCAGCAGACTCAATATCAAGAAATAAACTATAAAATGGTCACATGTACTTAAATCACTGCTGGCGATGACCCTAGGACCATTACGCTGAGGTTTCTTCTTTTTGGAATTTAATACCATCTCTGCAGTTGCACATAAATTGCTCAACACAGCTCGACTTAGCGCCGATGTGTTCATCTCCCTTCCCTGAATGTAACCAAAGCTCCTGGGTTCTGCGACTTGCTACGACCTCCGCTATACAAAGTGATCATTGAGTTGCAGAGCTGAAAAGCTTGGTTGTCCTGATTGTGATGTCGCCTTTATATGGGAACTTCCTGTAATCATTTTATCTGGTGCTGTAAACGCTTTTGGTTCAGTGGTCTGATCTGGCCGTGTTCCAGTTTCTGTGCCACATCCCGAACACAGTCGGGGATATTGCGCTCAGTGATTTTATTATTTCGCCTTGTAGAATAATATATGCAATAAGATGCAAAGTGGAAGCATCGCCTCGCCTTCCCGTGAAACATCTAATCTCTTACCAGAAAAATTCTGTCAATTTCCCTTAGTCAGTTTTCGGTAACCACGTGCTCACCCAACAGGATTTGTAAAACATTGTAGTCCTCACTCATAAGTCATTGTTTACTGGTAATCGGTCACTGCAATCTCTGCTTAAGAAGTGGCTCACGACTTTATCCAACTTGCTCGTCTACAATCGGAGAGGTCTCTATTGAAGGCTAATCTTTCTGTCGATTGTATTTGGTGATCATGATACTGGTGCTATGCTAATCATTGATTCATCACATTCTCTAGACTTTATCCATAACACTGCAGTGGTTTCGTTCCCTCTTGTTAGTCAGGAATCGGTATTACCATCAACATTTGTTTGTGGGTGGCTGTTGTGGTGACCTCATGATTGTAGAAAACTTCACATCGGATGTTTTTCCCTACTTCCAATTCTGTCATACTGTTATCGTTGGACGAAATGATTTGACAGATGAAGGTAGCTTTAACTCGGTGATTACATGTTGTGTTTGAGTATGTGTCACCGATTTACAGTTAAAAGATTTTGCTGTTCGCAGTCTCCCAACGTTGTTTCCATGTTCCGCGAGCTGTTGAACGGAACTTAGTTATTCCCTGTCTGAGCCGCAGCGATTCTTCTTCCGAAATCCATTGAAGATAATCGATTTTATTGCTTTGAGTAATATAGTTTATTTTATTCGGTGTGCTTCCCACTGGCGAGGTGGAAATTGCATGGTCTTTGGTGTAATGTCATATAAGTTTAAATTGGCCTAGGGAAGATAAAATACGTGCGATCCAGCGGATTTCAATAATGCAGAGTATTCTTGAAGGATTAGCCCACTGGCGAGCTGGCACTGATTTTCACCAAGATGGAATTCACAGTGATCCCGGTCCATTGTAAAGCGCGTGGATGCTAATCCAGCGAAGGTAATTGGTGGGGTTGGTATGGCTGCAGTCATGATAGCGTATCAACCTGAATTCGACCAGCTACACCTCTGCGCTGGGTACTGTTTCGCAAGCTCCAAACCTTCTGTTCTGACTGAGAAAGCGCAACAAACGATTGCCTCGCAGTGAAAGCGGCGATGGGTATAACCATAGGCCAGACTCCGAGAGGTCCGATGGCATTTTCAATTCCTGTTTGAGTCATCAGTACAGCCAGTTGCACTGTCGGCTTGGCGAGTTCCAGTCGCATTGCACTTGGATTCGCTACTGCATCTATGAAAACAACGGACTAGTCTTTGATCGTTTTGTCTGATGAGCCAATGTACTAGCCCGGTTGCGATACACAGGAGCATTGGTGCCTTGCAATTATGCATTGGTCCAAAGCTGCTAACTATGAATCTCCTTGGATTACATTTCGCTTTGCTTCTTTTTAAAGACGTAATTCCGTTTTCGTTTTAATAGCAGTTTCTCAATCGTTATCGTGTGCATTTCGGTACAGAATCCTTGGTAATGCTATCGGCCTCATGACGATCTTCGCAACACTCTCGGAGTGATCAAGTTAACTATGTCCATTGTTGGCCTTTAGTGTTTCAAATGAAAATGCTGAAAACGTTTGCAATTACAGTTGAACGCCTGGAAAATGTGAGGCTCCAAATTGTTGTGCCGCTGCGCCTGCTCAACTCGCGACGAAATGAGGACACCAAAGACCAGCCGGTACTGAAGGTTCTTTTGCATGAGATCATAACAGAATAAATGGCTTGGAGACAGCTACTAATGGAATTAATATCAATTAACACAGCTCAACACGTTCCAATTCTGAGTTCAACTTGCTACTGACTCCACGTCGGTTCGCGTTTGGTCCCTGCTTGCGTTCAATCTCCAAATGTTGATCGATCCAATCTTGCACAACGACTCTCGGCTTAAACGCTGGCTGTAAACTGGCTTCCTTTACCACCTCCCTCGCGCAAATGGACGTACGACTTCCGTCTAGGGTCCTGCTGCATTCTGATGACGGGGCTCCGTATCCGATCAGGGCAGCGTCCTGACTTCATAATCGGCTTTTCTGGGACGGTCGTGTAAGGTGCATCAGAAGAGTTCTGTGTACTGGCTGACATATCGAAACTGTCCATCAGGATAACCAGCGGTAGAGGTGGACTGCTTATGCTTATCGATATGCTAATTGGTCGAAGCTGATTAGCGTACATGATCCGAATATGGTCCCTCACTTTAACCTTATATAAGACCCGTCCAAATCTGCTTTGGATCAGACATGTCGCCCATCGTGCTCTTTTCGTGTGGTAGTCTCTGACCAAAACTTTCTGTTCTGTGTAGAATCGGCGTGCTTATGACCTATCTCGTTGATTGTTGTAATCCTCTATTCTCAAGTTTATTTCTTGCGGGGTTTCGTTCTTCGGAAGCAATAACGTGTACATTGTGCGAAGCTTTCGTCCCACTAACGCCTCTGCTGGTGATAGCTGAGTGGGGACATGGGGATTCGGTGTCATCCTCTACATAAGTAGAAGCGCACACAATATCTACTGCGTGGTTCCTTCTCCCTCATTTTCAGCAAAACTCGCTTTAAGCAATCCACAAATCGTTCTGCCTGTCCGTTCGATTGTGGATAGAACGGTGGCGAGCGTACTTGCGTAATGCCATTCTGAGCTCAGTACTCGACAAAACAGGAAGAAGTGAACTGTGAACCGTTGTCTGTGACTAGCATCTCTGACTGAAAAGCTTTCTCAGTACGTTGCTCGTTGTGCCACTGGGGACGTGCTCCATGCAGAATATCTCGGGCCATTTACTGAAAGCGTCAACAACGACAAAATACTGTTGCCCATTCACCGGACCAAAGAAATCTGCATGCACACGCTCCCACGGCTCCGTTTTCAAAGACCTGAAGGCTAATACTGCTTTTCTGGGCGCCTTACTTGCAAGTGCATATCTCTGACATGACTTTGCCATCTGCTACAGTCCTGAGTAGAGATTCGACCAGTAAACAAAACTCCGAGCAATCGTTTTCATCCTGTTACTACCCAGTTGGTTTCGTTGGAACTGCTATACAACCCTACACCGAACCTCCGAGGGGACAACAACTCGCTCGCCAACAATAAGCATCCGTTGACGATTGACAGTTCGTCCTTACGAACAATTTATGCAGCTCACCTCTCAGTTTATCCTTGAACCACTGTGTAGTTTGGTATTTGATCGCTTGTTGAAAGACTGGATCTCGGGTTAATGCATCATGCATCATTTCGAAGGTAACCGGAAGCTTTCTGCGTCTCTCCATTGGTTCAATTCGGATTCCAAGGAAATCGCTGCGATCATTGATTCTTCTTTTTGGGGCTGCTGATTTTCCATTAGTTAAGAAAGTGCGTCAGCTTGGCCCATGTCCTTTGTGGAGCTATGCTTCACCTCAAATTCGTAACCGAGGAAAGTGGTGGTTTAGCGTTGCAGTCCGTTTGATGTGCAGACGGGGATGCCTGACTTTGATCAGAAAATTGAAAGCAGCGGCTTATTATCAGTAAGAACTGTGAACTTTCTCCCATAATGCATCTTGTGAAATTTCTGTATTGCGAAAACTATCGCCATGGCCTCTCTATCTGACCATAATTTCGTTCTGCGGGAGACAGCGATCTGACTGCATTTGCAGTTACCTTTCGGACCTATCTGCGTACTTGTGGGCTATGCCTGCACAAATGCCATAGTTCGAGGCGTCTTCGGCCATCTTATTCTCCAAGGTTGGGTTGTAATGCATCAGTAGAATATCGTAACACAGAATTCTTTTTACCTGCTCAAATGATCTCTGACATTCTTTGGAACGGTTCCAGGGCTTATCCTTGATCAGTATTTCATTCAGTGGACCATTTAAGCGATGCATATGCGGCAGGAACGGGCTATAAAGGCATATGAGTCCTATTAATGATCTTGGTGTTGCAACATCTTTGGACGACAGCATCTTCTTGATAGCTTCAATGTTCGGTGGGTCTGGACGTCTGCCATTCCTGTCGCTTTTAAAGACGAGAAACGTAATTGTGTCCATAACGAAGGTACACTTCTCACGTCGGAGTCTGAGTTCATACTTTTAAACACGGCCAATAGCTTGATGCAACTTTTCGAATAGGTCATCAGCATTGCCTCTGACAACAATGATGTCATCCAGGTATGCAACTGCCCCATGGACGTCTGTCAGCATTGTGTTCGTGGGCTTTTGGAATATAGCTGGTGCGGACTTAACTCCAAACAGTAGACAGTAGTACTGATACAAGCTGCTGTAAATATTAATTCTGAGTAATTCTCCTCATGTACCTTCATGTGCCTCGAACTTCAGATACGCGTCAGAAAGATCCAGCTTTGGGAAATCTTTAACCCCCATTCACTTTTGCAAACAAACCACCCGGAAGCGGTAAAGTTATTGATGAGCGTTCAGTGCAGAATTCAGACCCGTCGAAAAATCGGCGCATATTCGAATTTGACTGTCCGGCATTTTGACGACCACAATAGGTGCTGTCCAAGATGAGTAGTTCACCGGGTGTGTAATTCCTGCTTTCTCTAAACTATCCAGCTGCTGGTCAACCAATGGTGTTGCTGCGTAAGGTATGGTGCGTCTAATGCGAAACCCTGGAACGGCATCAGGCTTAAGGGACAGTGAAGCTGATGCCTTCGTGCACTTACCCAGGCCTTCCTGAAAGACTGCTGCATACTTCTATCGCAGGCGCTCGATTGCCACTGTTGGGGTTGTTGGTTTGTGTATCTGGACAGTTGCACAAATCTGGTTTAACGAAACATCAGGCAGATTGAAACGCCCAATCCTATCCATAGTCAAATTCTGATGGCTCGTGACGAAAAGCGATTCCCATGCGGTAAAGTCGGCATGACGACACTCACATTCGACTTGACCAAGCAATTTCAACTCCGTAACTGATGCGGTGTTTGTTTGCTGACTGGTAGATTTGATAATTTGCTACCCGATAATCCTTCAGAGGCTTTCTGATATGATCGTGATGTCTGAGGCGGTATCAATCTGCAAGCGCGCCTATCTTCCATTGATGCTGATGGTGATGTACTTTCATCTATCCGGACGTCATCAATAAAATTAGCTTTCACTCTCTTTGCAAAATGGCCGTAGGTCTTTTTCGATTATCATGAACTGGCCGGAAATATTTGGATTTGCACTGCATTTCTTTGTGCCCATGTCTATGGCACTTCTGGCAGATATGCTTGTTGAATGGACATCATTTAACAAAATGCCATTAACGGCATTGCCAACAGGCTGATGGTCGCTTACTATGTAGGAGCTCCTTGTGATCAGTGGCTGGAAATTTGCTGGACTGCGAAATCATTGGAATGCGTCTTTGTGTCCTCGATCAAAGCTGTATCGTGTTTCAAATGCGTGCTCCTCTGAGCATCTGCAATGAAGTCCTGTGACGTCCTGGTCTCGCTCCAACAGCCCCAATATTCTGGTCCGTATCTCGCCTTCCTTTGGAGATTGCAGGAGATTGCACGCCAAGATCAAGCACTCAACTTGATCTTTAGTAAGTTCTTTCAACTTGAACTTCTGGCACTCGTTTCACTGTTGCGTATGGGCACTGAAACTGTCGCTGTCCCGTTCGCACCGTTTCAGACAGTTGTACCGATTGTTGAAAAGCGCTGCGTGATCGCCGAACATTTCCGTCAAAACTGAAATCTTGAGCGGTCTTGGGCAAAATGTAATTGATGTATCTGTCGTGCTTCACATTTCCGAGTTTACGCAACAATAGTCACACTTTTGATACATCGTCATGATTCTCCAGTTCTGTTATGAAAATATCTTCATAACCTCTGGATCATGTGTAGAAAATCAGCTCTGAGACGGGGTCAAAAACGAACTCATTGACACTGTTGACCGGTGCATGGACTGAAAGCTTCTGGGCATTGTGGACGGCATTAGACTGGAGCGACAGTCTTCTTATGAGAGTCTCGTTCATTCGCAGCTGTGCTTCCTCGGACTGCTGCTGCTGTTGTAGAAAAATAGCTTTCTGCCTTTTTGCTGAGCTAGACATCTTGATTGAGTTTCCATCCGTCGCTAGAAATCTGTTGTGTGGCTGAGTCTGCTCAACCGCGACGAAATGAGAACACCAAAGATCAGACAGTACTGAGGGTACTTTTACATTAGAGCATAGCAGAATAAATAGGTTGTAGACAGCTACTAAACACACCACCGTCGAAGATGCGAATTTATATCAATTTACACAGCTCATGACGTTTCGAATTCTGGGTTCAACTTGCTGCTGACCCCACATAGATTCGCGTTTAACCTCTGCTTGAGTTCAAGCTCCAAATGTTGATCGATCCAATCTTGCACCACGACTCTCAGCTTGAACGCTGGCTTGAAAGCTGGCTCCCTGTCCCACAAACCATGGAACAAACTGCACGCAAAGTATTACAGGACGTGATTGCTGAGGACTTATAGACTTTGTGTGACCAGTTTCTGTAGAAACTATAACTTATTTTCATTTTTTGTTTTGAACTCAAGCTACGCTCTTTAGGCGAAAACTTGCTGGAGTGTGCTCATTCATCTCACATACTTTTAACTCCACAAATCAGGAACAGTTGGGCACCGGAACTGAGATTATGACCCAAAATGACCATCTACTATTCTTCCTGTGTTTTTCGTTGTTTGATTTATCTACGCTTGCTCACTTGTTCCTCCATCCAGATCAACGCTCCAATAGATGTGACCTCTGTGATAAGTCGTTTTCCGATAAAGGCAGTTTGCAAAGACATGTCAAATGTATTCATCTGAGTGAGTATGTAACTGAGACTTTAATTGCTTAACATTGTCGTTCGCATTAACATCGTCGATATCAACCATACTACTTTTCGATACCTATCGTTCCTTTTCCCCGTGGCTTACATACTTTTTAAATCGCATCGTGTTCAAGCATCAAAATCATTTTCATTTGATGTGACGCGATTTCGTGCCTTATGTTCTTTACCGTTTCACGCGAACGGCATTGGTGGAACGGTCATTGCTGTGCGCTCGACTGAACCCATTTCATCCGATGGGTAATCATTCCTTCGGAAGCTCTATTCTCATGCGTTCACGTGGCCAGATATTAGCCGCTTGGCTATTTTCCTTTGCGTCATGTACTTTTATTTCTTTTCTCTCTCTTCTACTGGGCACTACTTCTTGAAGTAATTTAGCACAAATCACGTGAAGGCCCACCTTCATGCAGGATAATTTTGGTCTGGGGCGTCCCTTTCTGGTTTTACCTGTTGCTGTTATTGCGGCCACTGGGCAGTTAGTTCTAGAGCTGGGTGGCGAGTGTTTTACACTCTGCCATGCACACCCACATCCATCCGCCCGATATCTACTGTAAACAAGGTTGGGTTGTGACGTTGCGGACCATGGTCTAAAGGTAACGAGGTTGTATTGTAATCTGACGGCTCGGGTTCGAGACTGTTTTCTAGGCAGGACGACTCTCGCAGTATCCTTAACCCGCGTGCGACCGGTAGTGCCTGCGCTACAGCGAAGCGTCGGTACGCAGTACCGACGTACTGTTGATGCCTTTCTTTCTGTGGTGTGTCAGAAAAACGAAGTTGCTGCTCACGTATATTGTTAGAAGAAAAGCTACAACGCACAACCACTCAGACCGAGACAAGAATCAACTTAAAAGTCAGCGAATCGATCAATCCGCACTGAGCGGAGTTCAACCGGTTAGCGTAAGCTCAAGGCAGCGAATCGCAACTCCACTTCCGTCGTCGAGCGATTTACTTCTTGCAGGTTGGTAGCTGTTATGTTTCCCTGCCTTGAGCTTACGCTAATTGGTTGAACTTCGCTCATTGCGGATTTCTCGATTGGATGACTCCTACATTGCTTGCCGTCTCGTTCTGAGCGGTTGCATGTTCAACGTTTAACTCTATCGGTATACGTCTTCAACATATTTTTTCTACAACAACAGGGTGCATGCGGATAATAGGCTGGATTGACCTTGAGCCGCCACCCATCGCTTTACCATCATCATCATCATCATTATACACGTTAGCTGCAGGTGGTAAACACCACAGCTATTATGCCGCAATCCAAAAGACCAGAAAAGGAAACCAAACAGTGGCACGCCGGCTGAGTCCACAGTAACAGATGGATATCGTTCCGGAGAGCTAACAGATGGCTATCGTGCCGTAAAGCGAGAGTTATATTATACCTAACGAGTGAGATCGTGATTGGTGGGCATGCTAAGCAGGAGGGGATGGACAAAGGAACTCACAACACAAACGCCATTGGGGCCGGCTTCTAGCCATATCAGCGAGTGTGTCCAACAAAACATGTTCACCGTCCTTAGGACCCCAGCCAGGCAGTCGGGATGCACCAACCGACGCCAACTTTGAAGTAAGGGTTTTCGTCTCTCACGACCAAGTGATCGCTTGGCTTCCCCTCCTCTTACAACCCCACCCACAAAGCGCAAACAATGCACGTCGCGGAAGTCGGTGTGCTGGCATGCGCAACACGTGGCCCAACCATCGGAGCCTGGTGCGTGATATAATGGTGCTGGGCGGCTCACTCACTCTTCCTGCATCAAATACACGACGCCGAACACGCTCATTGCTCACTCGGTGTCCCCAACAGACATGAGCTAAGCTGCGAAGACAGCGATGATCGAATGTGACGAGCCTCTTCATGTCTGTCGACCTGATGGGCCAGGTTTCACAACCATATAGGAAATTTGAACGGACGGCTGCGTTATAAACTCTGTCCTTCAGGGCGAGAGTAATGTCGCGTCTGCGCCACAGGTCGCGTAGATTGACAAAAGCACCTCGAGCTTTTGCTATACGGTTCGTAACCTTATCTTCTATCCCACGGGTGCTAATATAGCTGCCCAGGTACTTGAATTCCTGAACGACTTCTAACAGATTATCACAAAGCGTTAGCGCAGGGTTGGGTCCCTGCCAATCTTGGAGAAGTACTTTGCACTTCGATGGAGCAAAGCATAGCCCAAAACAATATACAGCCAGTGTTAATCGGTCCAGTGCTGCTTGACATGTTTGGGAGCTGCCACAGATTAGGACGATATCGTTCACGTACTCTAAGTCAAAAAGTCGCTCACGAGGAAGTAGCTCCACACTTTCTAGGTCGTGTTCAGCGAATGTTGTTTCCATGACTTCATCAATAGCGAAGTTGAAGAGGAAAGGTGACAGCGGGCAACCTTGTCTCACATCGCTGGTGATACTGAAGGGTGGCGACAGTCTGTCAGAAACCCTCACTCTGTCAGAACTATGCGCGTACAGCGCCTTGATAATGCTTACATATCTATCAGACACACCTTTCCTCAGCAGCCAGTCCCAAAGGGCACATCGATCAACTGAGTCAAAGGCACCTTTTATGTCAAGAAACACGACAACAGCGGGTCGCCCATAAACATGGCGGTGCTCCAACACTTGACGCAAGATGAAGATGTGGTCGATGCAGCCCCGATCTCTACGAAATCCGACTTGCTCTTCACGAATCTGGCTTTCACGAGTGCCAGTCAGTCTGTGGAGAATGACAGAGGCAAGCAATTTAGAGGCAATCGAAATGAGACTGATCCCTCTATGATTGTCGCATTCCAAACGGGAGTTTCCCTTGAAAATGTGACAATGACGGTGCGGTTCCAGTCTGTCGAGACAGTCTCCTCTCCCAAAGCTTCACTAGCACCACTTGTAAAGCATCTATTAGAGCAGGTCCCCAAAATTTGAAGAGGGCTGGGGGAATTCTATCTGCCCCTGAGGCCTTATGCAATTTCAGCAGCTTGATCTCACGTTCGACTTCTGCGCGTTAGGGCGAATCCAAGGAGACGGCCAGGGAGAAAGGCGCTCCATGCCCGCAAAGGAAACCGATAACTCAGGTTGGTTAAATTGCCTTGCAAAGTGTTCAGCCCAACGCTCCAAGTGTTTTGACAGGTTGTGGATCGGCTGCCCACTCTCTTCGCATATGTTCTCGCCAACACCAGATCTCCTGCTGCCTGTTTCCCGTATCAGACGGAATAACTTACGATGATTGCCCACGGTAGCGGCTGTTTCCATCTCAGAGTCACGATTTGCCCACCAAGTTTCGCGGTCTATCTTCAGGCTAGCACGGAGTTTTGCCCTGAGATTTTTGCGAGCCTCATTGTATTCGCTTCCAGCCGGAATACGTCGGCGAGCATCCATAAGTTCCATAGACTGTGTAGAGACCCAATGTCCGGTTTGGCAATTTGCTTTTCCACATGAAGACATGCCTACTAACAGTAACGTTTGACGAATATGCGACCAGTGATCTTCGACGGTGTTTAGTGGGCGCTTACTCAGCCCAGATGTCAGCGCACTTTGATACACATTCAGAACACCTGGCTTCGCCAGCTGGCCGGTGTCAATCCGTTCACATCGACGTTGCGGACGTCCACTGAAACGCACCCGGAGGTCGGCGCAGACATGCGCGTGGTCATAGTCCACGCTCGTGCTCCAAATCGAGCGATAATTTTGGGCACAGCCTCTCCAGCGGTAACTAATCGCCATATGACCGATTTGCGTCCATGGCTGGTGCGTAGCTGGTGGACGACAAGTCACCCACCGGCGGGTGCTGTGTCGAAAGTTTGTGCTCGCGAGAAAGAGACGAGCATCTTCACACAGCTGTAGCAATCGCTCACCGTTATCATTACGGGAGCCTACACCATGTGTGCCTCCCGGATGAAGCTCATCAGAGGACAATTTTCCTACTTTGGCGTTTAGATCGCTAGCCAACACCACAGTAACGAAGGAGCTCATGAAATTGCTGATAGTGCTACCGTTTGTAGGGGCGTAGACCGCATTGACAAACAGACACCGTTTGTTCCCGTGCGACTTCGTAGCTTGGAACGAACCAGCTAATCTAACGGCGCACATCCTACTGTTTACGGGGATCCAATCGATCAGGGCAGCTTCACCCCGGGGACTCAAAACAATGCCGACGCCAGCTTGACCGGCATTTGAAGCTGCATCATCGCCAGACAGGCGTAATGAGAATGTGCCGCCAGTGTCGCATGTGGGGAAGCTCGAATCTTGCCGGCGGGTTTCTGATAAACAGCAAATATCGATCGATAGGGTCTCTAGTGCGCTGGCAAGTGCTGCCTGTTAGCCAATCTGTAACAAAGTGTGCAGGTTGAGGCATGCCAGTCTTAGCGAGACGCGACGACTCCAAAGGGAACGGATGAACTGACGTTGTCCGCTTGGTTGAACATGGACTTGTCGACTGGATTGGAGTGACGCCCTGCGACTGTGTGTGATTTGAAACTAACAGACAAGCGACTATTGAAGCAAGCTGGGGGAGGGCCAAGAATTGGGGAATTGAAAATGGAGGGATAAAAGTAAAATTGGAACGGGACGATAAGGATGAAAAGGCGCAAGAAGGGGGATATGAAGACGGGAAGGCCTGAGCAGTGGCATCCATACCCCTATCCACCCTGCTCGATGCAGCAGATAGGGCAACGTTTATTATCCTCTGCGACGGCCAGAGCGTCAAGCAATTGTTTGCGGAAGGGTTCATTGTATTGCGTGGACAGAATACTGTCAGGTTGCCCAGGCCTAGACAGGAGAACGATTAGGGTTCTCAACCAAAGCCTTTGGTTCAAAAACCTTACCGCAAGACAACGGGTTTTGGCACTGAACTACAGAGAGCTCGTTTTATGAAATAAAGAGCCACCGTCATTCCAACCCCAACCTGGAGGAACATGAGGCTGAGTTTGTCAGGCCTCTAACCGTTGACCCATCTGGTATGAGTGGCTCTGAAGGTGCAAACAAAAGCACTACTCCGCATAGTGGATCCCTGAGGCACGCAAACCATCGCACCACGGTAAGGTCCAGCCTCATTGCCATTGCTTTACCATGTTCAGCATTGCTGTAAAATTTCGGCGGCGAATCATATGAGACGAGTACAGGTATTTTGCTGAAACCAAATTTTAGAACGTGATGCGTTCACGGAGACTGCACCCCATTGGGCTCTCTTCGTTTGCAACTTTCTACTCCCATACCACTGCAAAGATGACCTAGTTTTTGTCGTCGAACCAGTCGGGTCACGGAGTTTTCGCGCTCACGCATGTCCCCAGCAGCTATCGTCATCTGCTCTTCAAGTGGCGTCACTTATCCCTGATAAATGCAACGGATGAGACGTCACCACGGCGTTTCCTCATTAAGTGCTCTATCCAGCACGATTTTTAACATTTCTTCCGTAGAGCATTATTTGACTTCCGATAAATATCTGTACACTAGGCTTCCTTATGCTATTGCACTCAGCTGCACATGGTACATGTACTGTTGCCATGTCTCGCATATCTCACTGTCGGGCAGACGATCGTGGCTGATCTTTACCCGCTTCCAATTGTCGATATGACTAGCGCCGATCTGTTCGTGATCTTCTGATCATGTGTGACACACCGGACTGAGTATGCGCTCATTAGTCCTCTATCCGCTGGACATTATTAACAGAAAGCATGTCTCCTTGTGGTAAATCTGCTTGCCAATCGGAAGATTGAATGTCTACACTGTCTGGAGCACGGCGATGCTCGCTGACACATTCCGGCTCGAAGCTAGGGAACCTGCTGTTATGTTTGATTTACGTGGTCTGTCAACAAGTTATGAGATCCTGAAACCGTCCTACGCATCTTTGAGGGTGCTCACATTCGCATTGCGGCAGTGACAGTGGTATCAGTTCCCTTCTTCATAGACTGACTGCCACTTCTGATCTCGACGGGTAAGCCGGCATCGGGACTGTATTGACCGTATATTCGCTTTACCTCAGCTGTTAGACCACTTCCACCTATATCGAGCACGCACCGATGTGTTCCTTTATATTATTTGTGCTTTCGACTCGAGGGATTTATGATCCCTTTGGGACTGTATAGTCAGAAAATGTGGCCCAAAAAGTACGTAATTATTCCATAGACGTTATGCGCGTCCCGGACGAGTAAAGTTATTTCTTTCGGCAAACTGTTACCAGCCGTCACCTTTCCTCCTTACTTTTGCTACTGTTGATGCTACGGAAACTGCGTTCGCCGGACTCAATTTAGAAAGTGTGGACTTGCTTCCATTTGACCGACAACTTAAAGTATGCCGACGACGTTGTCATACTTTATTGCAGTTTACTAACCTGCCAAACGATGCTGGCTAGTTTCGAACCACAATATAACCTCCGAAATCAACCATCTTTAAATTCTGGCATCTCTAAGTCGACCGGTTTTTTCATTGCTCGAAGGTTCGCCATGTAAACTTCACGAATCCAGATCTCTGTATGTTGATGACCTCACTATGTCGACCACTTTGGTCAAATCCCTTGAACGGTCAAGTTATGGAGTTTTTTGAAGCATTAAGCAGAAAGAGAGCAACCATTGCAATATATGTTAACATTCCGGTTAATCTCGTCATTCGCAGACACAGTGCATACCGGATGTGTCCGACACATCACGAATGTGCCATCATTTCATCAATTAATTGTTTCGGATTATCGCAGTTATTTAAAATATTCTAGCATCTTCTAAGGGTGCACGTGTCTTTACAGCCTTCTGCAGACTAGCTAGATCGGTATGCTCTGCTAATTGTAACAGTTGAACTTTCTGTTCCAAAAGTCGAAGGTCATTTGGTGATCTATGAATACGACCAACGTCTAGCTAAGTTGTATAGTTCTTTTGGCGGCGGTTTACGTTATTTTGTCAACACCGTTTGACTTATGCTTTTTACTTCGGTTGGGCTTGCTTTCTTGTGTATGCGTTGAGTGTTTTTATTCAGAATCGCAACATATTGGGAATATCTAACTGAATGTATACCAACGTGCATACGTGAAACGTTCCTTTAGTAGCTGCAGGGGGCAATCAACACCGCGGTAATCTAACTTGTCGCCTGAATTTCTTTGCGCACAGCGCTGGACGTTTCTTCGTGATTAGCGGCACTTCACTAATTGTCAACCGTTTCGGATTATTGCTGTAGAGGAGTACTTAAAATGGGTTCGGTTTGTCCACGGGATCAAGAATCGCGCTGTGCACACAAGATCCATTGATGTAGTTCTCATTACACTTTGCTTTTGCTGCTCTTCGCAGCTATGGCGACTTCGTGACAGAACTCAGGCCTTTCAGTGTGTAGCCTACAACGCAATCTTTCGTTCAGCCCCCTATTTGCGTTTGTGGAACCTAGCTAGTCAGGTCGATCGACATAAAGTGGCTTGTTATATTCGACCACAAGTGACTTCGTAGTTTAGCTCATATCGGTTAGGAACACCGCATGAACATTGAGCGTGTTAGCGGACTTCTCTTTGGCACAGGAGAACCAAATGTACATCAAGGCATCAGCCATGCGTCGGCACGCCGTACCAACGCTTCGCTGTTCCCACCAGTCTCGTTTGGGCTATGTATACCGCGAAGTCGCGTGCACGAACTCGGATTCGAACTGTTGACCTCCCATCCTTTCAGCCACCAACCGACTGCAGGTGTACCGCTCATTACTAGCTCACGCACCAGGTTCTAATGGCTTGATCATACTAAGGCACCGACTCTGCCGGTGTGCGCGGTTTGCGCGACCGTGGTTTGAGTGCAAGATGTGAATGGGAGCCGTAACGATGAATTACTCAAAAATGAATGCCTTTAGTTCTGCTGTAGCCTTATTCCGGAGTCGAGGTCAGAAAGACGATCAACGTATGTAATTGCAAGCGCTGTTCGCGGAGGTTAATAGCCTATTGATTATGACGAAAGCCACTGGCCAATATGTGCCGAGTTCCACTCTCAGCTCAGACTATCTCTATTTGATGGGTTCACACAATGATGAAACCCGCCGTAGAATTCAGTAGTGCGAAGGAGCAACACCGTAACTAGCAACATGTCTTGTGACATAACGAAGAACCGCCCCTTTGGCGTTCGTGCCTTGCTTTTCTGTGTATCTCACCCTTCACATATAACCTCGTTCCTTGTGCGGGTCACACTATTTTTACCGCCATCTGATTGTATTGTTTTGCAATACACTTGCTGAGATACTTCTTTGTCTTGCGTTTAAAACGACACTGATTTTAACAGCCAAACTTCAAGTGCTCATTGCACACTGTCGTTCGGCATTTAATAAACTGTGGCTGTTATGGGTAGGCTTCCTACTATTCACACGGGTAAAGGGCTTGCACTCTGTTCTTTGTCTCATTCCATCGAATCAACCTTCACTCTACTTATACTGGAAATGCCGTGATTGTGTCTTGAAATCTTGGAGACACTATCATCATTATCAATCAACACTAACAGAGGTTAGACAAAATGGTCATTTAGGTTACTCTCCTCCGTGTAATTTGGTTTGAGGAAACAGGGAATCGGTCAGAAAAAGAATTGGGTACCCGGGTGAATGAATGCACACTTTTCATTGCTTATAGACTGAACTAGGCAAGACCACCAGTCAAGTGCAAGGACTCATCTAATTATTCCAGCGTTTCCCATTGAAGACGCTTTTCAGACTACATTAACGTTAGCGGAATACACTACATTAGGATACGCGGTATGATCTGTGTTGCAGCTCACGCTTAAACATCTGGGCTGGCATATTCCTCTGTTTGGATAGTTTGAAAACTCAATTATTGCCAGCGGCCGAGGTGACATGCTTTCTCTCGGTAGATTTGGAACGACAACCGTTTTGTTACTGCTTCTTCACGTGCGAAAGCCGTGAGTTAGTTGTTGACCGTTAATCTACACTTCTCTCCTGCTGACCAATTTCGTGTTCCGTCACTTACGGGAGCGTCCTGTAAAGAGTGCGTTAAGCACTTGTCAAATAATTCGTGCGGATCTCATATCGATTTTGATGCCAATGCGACATTTACTGAATTTTATTCGTACCTTTTTACTAGCGAAGACAGTTCATGGTGACAATGACGCGCAAGGTTTGCGAAATTGGAAGGCAGATAAAGCAGGAAAAGGAATGATGATACTGGATTTTGGGATATAATATCAGAGAGTACCGGTGTTTTTAACCGAATGCTATCTGGTTAGGCCGTACCACTGGACACAAAAGCGATTGCTTTGTGTCTGCGCAGCTAACCTGGTTGCATCCTCCACTGATGATTGGCCGCATTCCAGTGAGATTACTTCCGCCTGAATACATTTGAAAGATTAACTAGGTTGTTGACACTGTAGGTCACAAATTGTATTGAAATCGTGTCGTTGTCACGTATGATGTTCCCTTCTCATGGTAATAGCTAACCTTATGTTAACGGAGGTTTTAGCATGACAAATTTTCGATTTACAGATTTTTATATTAATACAACGTTTATGCACCACTTTATCGGGTCCTTTTCTGTTCTGTGTCTAATTGCTCACTCCATATCTCCATAATCGAGAACAACGTTCCCACATATGTGATCAATGTGGTTATTCCTTCGTTCTACAAAGTCATCTTCGACGACATCTCAAGGCAGTTCACTTGGGTGAGTGGGCAGCTGAAAACTCTGTTGATTTTTTATTCGGACGCTATTCGTGTACAGTATTTTCTCTTCACTTTCCGTTCGCTATCGACATATTTTCCTGGAGTAAAAGTTGCAATTTATCTTTTTCATCGAGATCGTGCTTGCAAGCGAACGCACAATCCTGTTCTTGAACATTCTCAAACTGCATTCGATTTACTATGGGACTGTACTTCATGACTTGGGTGCACTTGGAACATAGATTTTAAATATTTTTGATAGAACGCCGGCGATATACACGATGATCTGTTGTTCAATCAAATCTTTTTCACTACAACTGCATTGGTTTACTCGTTATAACGAAGTATATTGCGCATTGCAAACATACAATCCTACCTCGTCATCTGCCAGGTAACTTAGTATGTCGCATGCGTTTTAACCAAAATTTTATTGGCGCGCTTAAACACCGTCGGATGGATGCACATTTAGTTTGTGCAGAGGGGCAGGACTGCCTGTCACCCAAATTAGGGATTAGGATACCATGTCATGGTCTACGTTTCACTGCTTTTTTGGACATCTCACCAATTGTATATACCATGGATTATTATGTTGAACGATCTAATCCAGAAACACCGTGAAGGTCAGATAGAGTCGAGCAAGCAAAGGTAATTTCTATTATTACTTGTGCATTTTGTGAGTAGTGTAACTTTCGTAGAAAGTAGGAGCCACGATTAAACCGCACAATAATCTGGCTCGAGGGAGAATCGAACCCCGGACCCACGGATTACCGGTCCGCTGCTCTACCACTGAGCCACCGAGGGCTGACGATCAGGTGCGCAATTTAATACATGGCTTCTGCTTGGTTCGCGGCGTATTGCCAATGAGCTCACAGTATCTGTCCTGGTGTTGCAGATAGGCTCACTCACTCATCACTTCCCAATGAACCGAAGTATCTGTCCTTCTGATGTTCATAGGGAATGGTAAATGTAGATTGCTTGTGGATTTTGTGAGTAGTGTAATTTTCGTACAGATGCTGTGAGCTTACTGGCAATACCTCGCGAACCAAGCAAAGTTATTTATTAAATTGCGCACCTGATCGTCAGCCCTCGGTAGCTCAGTGGTAGAGCAGCGGACCGGTAATCCGTGGGTCCGGGGTTCGATTCCCGTCGAGGCAGATTATTGTGCGGTTTAATCGTGGCTTCTATTTTCTACGAAAATTACACTACTCACTAAATCCACAAGTAATCTCCTTTACCATCGCCCTTTGAACGTCAGAAGGACAGATACTTCGCTTCATTGGAAGTGACGAGTGCGTGAGCCAATCTGCAACACCAGGACAGATACTGTGAGCTCATTGGCAATACGTCGCGAACCAAGCAGCAGTCATGTATTGACTTGCGCACCTGATCGTCAGCCATCGGTAGCTCAGTGGTAGAGCAGCGGACCGGTAATCCGTGGGTCCGCGGTTCGATTCTCCGTCGAAGCTGCTTATTGTAAATAAATAAATAAATAAACGTTTTATTCCTCAGCAGTGCGAGGCAAAGACCAATTGGGTGGTCTTATCAACATGTACAACGTGATCGCATAATATAGTTAATTGTTCGTCTTTTGATCAAAGGTTCCCATAAGGGTTTTGAAATGATTAGCAGTCAATAGGCCAGTCACAATTTGATGGAAAATCTTGGCGAGTGACGACGATGGTACAGAGACATCAGCTTGGAAGGCGTAGTGCATCAACGAACCAGTGCGTCAAAGGAGAAAACAGAATTGGTTAAACGGATTAATAGGAGTAAGATCGTTCTCAAATATATACTCAGGAATGCAATTATATGTAGGTAATCTTATATTATTGAAACGAATAGAGGATATGGTGACTTTCATACGTATCCAGGACCTTTCTCATACAAATCATCTAGTCACCGTTTGGCTTAGTGTTGACCAGATGTTTGCAACAGTCAGGTGAATATTAATCATGCGTCTGAATTGTGCATAGGTAGTGCAGTTTCTAACACTCGATGGAAGTTTGTTCCATATTAACGCGTATTTTACAGAGAAAAATTTTGAGCGGAGCATTGTGCGAGACTTTGGTATTTTCACTGTGCGCTCGCTGTTTCTTAGTTCATAGCGCATACGAGTCTGAAACTCGAGTTGTGGCTGAGCAGTGAAGGTCAATCCGAATAGTAAGCGGTATAAAAGGCACAGATTAAGTTTGAGTCTGCGTAGCCATAGCGGCTCCAGATTTAGCGCCTCGCAACGCTCACGGTATGTCATAGTATTAGGCATGTTCAGAAACCTTTTTGTGAATGATCGTTGAATGTTTTCTAGTGCTATAATATCCACTTTTCTCAGATTACTATGCACTATCGTACTATCGGTTATTCGTGGCTTCTACTCTCCACGAATATTTCTATAATGTTTGGGATTGGTTGAACTTGTGTAAATTAATAGACGGGTGCTGTGACAGTCTGTGTTGTCAGAGCAAGTGATCCAGTGTCATCAAAAGGGAACCGATTTGTTCTTCGATCAGCTATGCAATCCAAGGGCGTTTTCGCTATGCATGCATGCGGTCTCAAATGTAAAGGGAAGAAATGGAACTCACCCGGTTTATTGTCGCACAATTGGAGAAGACAGTTGTTGTGATGACAGTTCTAACATTTATTTTATATCGGAAGTGAGTACATTTTATAATACTGTCCAGGTATTTATGTGCAATCACAGAGCTCGACGGGATGTGGCAGATAATTGGTGTTTGGCATGTTCACAAGAGTGCTCCACTACTCTAGTGGATCACGCCTCTGTTCCCGTAACCAACCATTCGGGTTTCCGATCTAGATGCGCTGCTCAGAATTTTGTTTAAAAAGTACGCGGAGTTATGCATTAGTATCAGGTTTCCTGCTGTTCGCTGGTAGCCCATTTCACGCGTCTCTCTGAAAATGTAGAATCTGCTCCAAAAGTTTTAACGAGCTTTCTCCATAGAGTAGTCTGATAGTGCTTTGATCCAAACTAATAGCTAATGGTTCTGTCTAAGTGGACTGGACTACCACCGTTATTGTACTGATTCGATATTTTGAACAAAGATACTACGTTTAATTTCCTCCTGCATAAACAAAGCCGATCCACCCTGAGACGTTTGCAGTTACCACGATAGTTAATAATAATAATAATAATAACACCAATAACTAATTATAATAATGTGTATATTTCCCGATTGTACGAGAAGCTGTCCCTGGATTGTGGACAGATCATGGGTACAATAATTATCATGCTCATACATGAATAATATAGGGTATATGATATCAAAATAATTTGGAATCACGTATCTTATTGTTGCTGAGTTGTACCATCTTTACTCATTGATTATATATTTCTTAGTCCATCCTGAGAGAACTCCTGTGGTGATTTACCCGATGGAAACATGATCATTATCGAGTTCTGGTCAAGGAATTTGCTAAGCTGAATGTGGAATGCTGTTGCATTTGTTTAAGACCAGATTATTGCTGGTAGGCTATTCCACACGATAGCATATCTGACGGGAAAGAACTTTGATCGGATAGCTGTCCTGGTTCTCGGCACACACAAGGTACAGGTCTTGTTACGTATATTCCGAATGAAGTTATGTTGAATTTTAAGTGTCCACAGACTAGAGTGTCTTTTGGTTTATGAGATTGTGTGTCAGCATCAGGTTAGGTTTCAGTCTTCGCAACCAAAGGGCATCGAGCTTAAGCAACTGGCAGCCCTCCTGATAACTCAAGGTGCTTGATTTACTGAACAAGCGCTTAGTGAATGGTCTCTGCAGGTTTTCTAAAGCTTTCCTGTCATCTATTCGCAAGTTCCCATACATGATGCTGCAGTATTCAAGGACAGGAAGTGTATATTTTGAAAAGCTCGTGTCTTTCAGGGGTTGTGTAGGTTTTATGGCATATGTTAGCCACAGATCGTTTGTTACGTGTTATTTGATACTCAGCATGCTCTGCGAAATTAAAGTTTGAAGAGTATCGTATGCCTAGATCACAGTTGGATAGTTTCACACGGATACGTTCATCGTTCAGTTTAACAGGCTCTTCAGGGATTAAACAGCCGTGTGATATAATGCATGATTTACTAGCTGAGAAATTTGGCATCCATGTATTGAACCGTTTCTTAAGTGAATTGAGGTCTTGAACGAACAGGATTGCGCTATTGAGTTCGTCTCGCCGAAATTTATGAGCAATTTTTATGTCATCGGCGAACAAAAGTGGTCTGCCATGTTTTATGGACATCTTGATACCGGTAATATAAAGTAGGAAAAACGAAGGACCACGTACACTCCCTTGGATGACACCACTAGTGATTGGACCTTGGGAAGAGTTATGATTACCAAGAGTGACTGTCTGGTAACGCCCATTTAGGTATGATGTCACCCAGCTAAATAGTGGGTCTCTGATCCAAAACGACTCGATTCTTTTCATTAGCCGCTTGTAGGGCACTTTGTCGATTGCTTTCTGCATATCCAGGAACAGTATTATAACTGCATTTTTCGAATCAATGGCTTCTGTGATGTAATCCAGGTAGTGCAACTGACAAGTTGTACAGGAACGTTTGTCGAGGAACCCATGCTGGGATTTGTTAAGTAGCCTATGACGATGGATAAAGTCTATGCTTCCACTTTTAACTAATTTTTCGAGTAATCTGCGATGACGGGAGTATGATGGATAGATCGATAATTAGTGATGTGCTGTTTAGCCCCCTTTATGACGAGGAACACTAAACGATGTTTTCCACTGGTCCGGAAAGTAGCTAGATTCCAAGGAAAAGATGAACATGTTTAGAAAAAGTAGTGGTATGTCAGGTCCACCAATTTTAATAACTAATGGAGCGATGCCATCGGAGTCTGGTTTGAACGATGGTTTAATGGATTTCATAGCCTGTTGGATGGTCGAAAGAGAAACCTCAACATTATCTATGCTGCTTGTTGTAATTTCTGGGCCGCAAGGCATTGGGTCGGTTTCTACGTTCGTGGAAACAGCGAGAAAAACTTCTAAACG